CGCGCGGCCTTGGCGGGGTCACTGACCTCGGCCGCGCGGCCTTGGCGGGGCACTGACCTCGGCTGCGCGGCCTTGGTGGGGGGGGGGGTCACTGACCCGGTCGCGCGACCGCGGCGGTGTTACTGACTTCGGTCACGTGATTACGGTATATATATATACCGTATAATACATATAATACATATAATATTCTCTTTTTTACTCTTTTCCTTGTCACGTGACTTTAGTCATGTGTTGTTTTTCCACTTCTCTCTCTCACTATTTTTTAAGTTTGATTTTCATGCGTTATTTCTGACATTTCTCATATGTGTATTATATATGGTTTATAAGACGTATATACTATCTGTCATCGCGGCGACAGGTTGTGTTCACTGACAACACGTTAAATAAAAATAACAATAGCGTGCGCGTAGCGCGCGCCTGTGTTGTGCTAGTATACTAAACAATACTTCATCATATACAGAGAAAATTTAAAACGTTCGTAATAATAATGCATTAAAAATATCATTATAACGGCTGTCTCGTTTGAACGAGAGTGCGCTATTTGCGCAATTGCTATCATTCTATTTCTATCGCTCATTGGATGTAAAACAAGGATGTGTAGAATGACGCATAGCGCGCCTCTCGTATATTGGTCGAACACAACCAATTGGACATTGTGAACACACTGCGTACTTGCGAGCTCCACCGTAGCGGAGCCATAACCTAATCTATTCATCTTAGCGTGTGCGCGGGAGAAAGAGTAAAAAAAACAAAGTAAAAAGAACAAGGAGGAAAAGATATTTAATACACAACATCATAAGTGAAAATGAAACGACCACACGTCAAAGCAGTTATCGAAGAGGTAGTAACGGCTCCGGACAAATTCCAACCAGTTATCGGTAAGAAACAAACTTTGTTGTCCACGTTACCGTAGGTTTGCTTCCTTTTAAAAACTTTGTTTAACTAAAAATTTTAAACTAAAAGTTTTAACTAAAAATTCAGAGTGACAAGCCACCAATAAAATGAAAAAGTTTTGCTATACACTTACATTTTTTATTTGTCAATAATTTATTCGATACATTTGTGTTCGCAAACGACGTTTTTTTGCCATACAGTGACCTTCCAAAATGGTCAGATGAAGGACAAAGAGGTTCGGAAGATCTCGTGTGGTCTGTTTCGAGACAAAAATGAAGAAACCGTATTAGCCATGTCAAACGGACACAGTGTTTACAAGGGTATCAGGCCGACTTTTGACAAACAGCCTCTGCGGACGATGCTGCTTCTCCACAACAAGGTGACGGGCAAAGCGAGATTGTTGGAAACAGAAAGGTGGCTAGTTTGTCCGGTATTAGACAAACCCACCGCGGACAAAGACACCGACGACACAGAGGAAAAGATCGCGATATTGAACAAGCAATTCGGATCGAAGAAAGTCAGACGTAAAACCGAGCAATTTGAGAGAATGAGAATGAGCGTTGACGCCATCAAGGATCAACTTGAGAAGTCGGCGTCAAGTAAGAGTTTCTGTTTTCGCAACGTTTATTAAAATTTTTTCACATGTAATACACAAACTATATAAATCTTTTATGTCCTTTTGACAGATATCAAAATTGACAAAGTGGATTTATCCAATGAGTTGAGTGTCGAAGAGTGTATCTCAAGCGCATTATTACCTCCGTGCAATAGAAACGCAAATAATGTCAAAGATGTGTACAATATAAATGATATCATACCAATAGGGAAATTAGAAACGTTATATGACCACGCGGCAGAGATTCTTAATGGATCTGCAAATGAGTATGTACTTAGATAAATATTAATATACGTATGTATATATTATTTATATATTAGAAATTGTTTTTAAAAAAATATTTTTTGTTACAGGAAAACTAAATTCTTCAAACACACGCTAAAGAAAATACAATCAGACCCGGACAAAATGCTCAAGATCGCTCTGTTGCTTTACATAGAAATGATCAACACGTGGTTTGCCATGCCAATGAAAGAAGCGAAAAAACGTGATGCCGTCGCGTGTTCAGTTTCGGAGATAGTAAATCAGCACATTATCGACACATACAGTATATCCAGTCCGAATGGACGGTAAGTTCCGATCATACGCGTCAGGTTTTGTCAAATATTTTAAGAGAATCTGATTTTTAACAGATTGAGACCAAATACCATGAAGGACAAGGGCCTTGTGCACTGCTTGATTCTTGCTCTTATAGCATCGGACTTCGAATTGAACTTGGAATTGTTTCGAGTTATGTTGACAACGCGAACCGGTTTGAGGAAACTGATGGACCTCGCGAGAATTATCGGAGCGACGCCCACGAAGGACGACAAGAAGATTATCAAGCTGAAAGTTCCATTGCCAGAAGTCATGACTCTCGTCAAAAAGGGAAGGAAATCTACGAAATCGGCGAAAACTTAGTCTTTGTGGCTATTGTTTTGATATTTTACAAAACGTTTTGATCAAGTTTTTAAAAGTCTTAATTTCCTTTTTTTGTACAACTCCGCAAATCTTGTTTACTATGTAAATCTATATGTAAAATATATGTATATTTTTGTTATACCATGTGTCTGACCTAAATTTTTGAATTGTTTTGAATTTTACTGCGCACTCCGTTTTTTCCAAATTTGCGTCACTGCTCCGTTTGATGAATGAGTTGTGACACGATGTGTACTCGATTTGAGCTTGTCCCTAGCACAGTGTCGCGGCAAATACAAGCGACTGAAAGAGGTTAGAAAAAAAACTGTTTACAAATTACAGATTTATATCCAGAACTTGGTGAAGTAATAAACTTGTAATCGTATCTCTGTTGCGTAACCACGGTGTTGGAATTTCTACTCAGTGTCCGTGATAAACACAAAAAAAAACAGAAAAGATATCCTTCAACGCGATGATAGCCTTATTGACCAGAAGGACGAGTGGAGGGGATCACATTCGAAAGTGTATATCGCACGTACTGGAGCGGAGAGATTTATCAGCCGCCGTTTCGAAGAAAGCAAAAATGGTAAACGCTACGTCTTTGATTTTACACAAGTTTTAAAGAAAAGTGACTTTTTTTGATCGTGCACTGTGCAAACAGATGTAAATTCACCCGTTTGTTTAGTGACTTGTGGTGAAGGTGGCAGCCAGCCACTTGTTACTCGAATCCTGTTGCACTTGACACACATGACACGTTCGATATTGAGTTTTGCAACAACAATCTAATCACGTTGCAGATGAAAGAAACAAACATTGCGATTTAAAAACAAAAAAAATAAGCGACAGTTTTTCATCTCGCGATTGTTTAAACTTATTACTTTATAAAACGTAAAGATATCTCTGACAAACCATGTTGATCTTTTCTGTTAGAGCAAGCTTACTCCGGAAGAAAGGGAACAGAACTTGAATCCACTGCTGTCAACAGGATGGACTGTACAGTCCAACAGGGACGCGATTTACAAGGAGTTTGTATTCAAAAACTTTAACGAGGTAAGTTGTGCGCGAATACGATAATTATTTATACTCATTGATCACAGATGTGTCCTTTTCAAATCACAGGCATTCGGATTCATGACAAGAGTAGCCATGCAAGCTGAGAAAATGGATCACCATCCCGAATGGTTCAACGTATACAACAAAGTAAACATTACTTTGTCGTCTCACGATGTGAATGGATTGTCGCAGAGGGATGTGAAATTGGCAACTTTCATTGACAAAGTTGCCGCCACTGGTAACAAGTAAAAACTTGTCTTAAAAAGCTGATTGTTCCGGGCTCTATTTGTTGGATACTTACATGACAATAAGGCGAAAAATGTTTTTTTTTTTTTATTATTATTATCACATAATATATATATATATATCAATGTTACTGAAATAAAGCTACTTTACTTTTAGTGGCATTATAAATACTCAATCTAATTTCTTAAAAATCTAACGCACGTTGTTTAGCAGGCTGTGCTGAAATATTAAAGAAAAAAAAAGAAAAAGCAATGGTATAGAATTCAATAGTAAACAGTTTTTATTCTAGAATACAATTTATATAAGTTATCTGAAGAAAGCTTTGTACGTCGAACACATTTAAGTACTTTTATATTATTGCAATACTTATTCAGATGATATCTTTCTATCTTTACCTATTGCCCATCCTTGTTTGATAACACTGAACAGACCAGGACCATTGTAGATAAGCACAAGCAGACCGGCGAGAGTAGCCGCAGATATTAAATACAGTGACAAGAACGCCACTTTCGGAACGAGTGTGCCCACTACAATAGGTCTCGCGTAATCCAATATAATGGCTTCCAGTCCCCTGAAAAATAAACTTTGTATTTCCGCCGCATCTTCTATGGAAAATTGACAAGCTAAAATACAAACGCAAACGGAGTCTAAGTTGGAGTATCAAAATATCAAGTACCAGTGCGTGTGCATGACGGTTGCGGCTGCCAGTACCATTTCAAGAAATTTATTTTCGAACAACAAACAAGCTGGTATCAATGTAAGAAACGACGCGGCCACAATTCTCTCAATTAACCAGAGACGTACGTGGTCCCCGTGACTACTCGCTGTTGCTCGAGTCTGAATCAGGCTGGTTGTCGATTGTGCGGGCAGCTGCAAAAAAAATAAAACAAAGAACCTCATTCTGTCTGATTGATTTTTAACTCTATTTCACAAATGTGTCGTCGTTGCAACCTTGGATAAGATACAGTGTTTTGGTTTTACGTTGGAAACTGCACGGTTCAGATTTGCAAGGCTCGACGCGGATCTGGGAAATTGAATTGGATTACAGCTGCCTCGTGCGAGCAAACCGCCTGGTTTCACCAGTGTCTCTGCAACAAAATCAAGTCGTGTTACAGTTTTCTTCAATACGCGTATACGAGATTACATAAATGTGTTTCGAGGTTAAGATTTTCTTTTATGTGCAAAAATTTTGTTTTGCCAAAGCGAACGTTTTTTCAAAACACGACAGAGTTCGCACGACGAAGCTTACCGAGCTGTCGGATTTTGCGAAAAACGTTGACACCAGCTACTCTTCCCAGATTCATCTTGTCGAAATTGTTCGACGATTATCAAATCACGAGTTTGACTTGACACACACACACAACGCGCGCGCACACACACACACACGCACGTGTGAGCGAGATAAAAACAAAAACAACCTACCGAAGGTAGGTAGGTTGACTTTTCTTTTAATTAACAAATAGATCAGAGATAACATATGCGCAGAAAAGTAGATTTTCATAAAAAAAAAACAAATAGTATCCTTTTTATTTAACAGATAGCAATTTGTTGTACGTAAAATTTTCAATTTTAGATGTCAGCACGGATTGTGAACAGTTCGCGCCACTGCGCAAACGGGTCTTTAACCTGAAAACGGACGTCAAAAAACACGTGTGCGTTAACGAGTGATTCATTCAGAAGAAGAAAACAGAATTATTTTGTCGAGTATTTTCGTTTCTCAAACATGGAAAGATTCAAGAGCATTGACTGGTGTTTATATTGAAAGAGATTAAATATTTTTCTTTTTTTTTTTTTTTTTTTTACAAACTTTATTAACTAAATGTTTTGTTACACGTGATTTTTTTAGGTTGCCCGCAATAGAAGATGTGGTAGAGGATGTATTCATCAAAGGCGAAAGATTGGAACGAGAGAGCGTTATGTATCAAATATTGAACGGTTGCTTCAGAGATCCGCTCGAGGATATTGACGAAGAGTACGAGCAAGTTGATCTCGATCGTATAAGACAGTTGGATCCCGATCTTTTTCGTAAAGAAAACACACGTAAACGTGAGATAACAAATAATCGTAATAAAAGCGAGAACAACGACGAGAGTCAGAATTCATCGGAGCAGAAAAACAAAAGAAGCAATTATATACCCGGTTTGAGAAAGCAATCGTTTCATTTTCCCAAAAAGTCTTGCTTGAACAAAATTCAGCAAGCTACGTGTCTTCGCGCTCTGTTGCGATTAACCAGCAACGAGAAGAAAGCGATGACAAGTGAAGAGAGAAACGATCTGGAGAGATATTGCGTAAACAAATATATATTGATCCTATGTATTGATCCTATGTATCTTATATATATTGATCCTATGTATCTTAGTTTCACAAACGAGTTTGCTTGGATGTGTATTTAAAATCATTACGTTTCCAGGAGCTGAGAGAAAAAATAACGGCAGAACAGAATGAGTTCCTAGAATTTGCTAAAAAGAAATGGGATAGCAGTTTTAAGTGGAATATCAAATGTATGAAATTTGTGTACTTGAAGTGGAAAGCAAAAGTGGACAAACTTCTCAAACTTCCTAATGAATATGTCGAAATGACCAGTATACCACTTTCTGTTGCGGAAACTCCCGCTTTGAACAAAGATATCAAAATAAAATTTATAAGTTATTTGAAGGAGGTAAAGCTCCTTTTGCATAATGCGAGGGAATAGTGATAGCGATAAGCAATAGACACAGAATTCCAACTCGTCGGAAAATTTATCGCTGTTGCTTATTCCGTTTTCTGATCTGCATTGATACACATGTATTTTTGTATGTTAGATTTCGCTGTTCCTACCGTTATTTATAAATATAAACTCTTTAAAACTGGTGTTATTTCTATCGCTATCGCTATTTCTTCTATTGTGCAAGAGGCTCAAGTTTTACATATGAATAATTGTCTATGTACTCGCAGATACGTGTATAGATTTTGGTTTTTTTTTCTTGTTCTCTATTTCTAGGGTCATCTTACGAATGTAACGTTGCCTGACCTCACCCGTCCTTATTTTCTAAACATAAATACTGATATACTGCTCGAAGAATATTTGTACACTTCGTCTGAAAAGCAACATTTCAAATTATCAGTAAGCGAGGATAGTTGCTGCGAGAATTTTGCGACGAACAACAAGGTGGACGTCGTCATTTCTTCCAGCGGTCTGAAATGTCTGCTGAACAACATCGATCCGCAGTATTCGAATTTGTGGACCATTTCGGTGGTCGTTAAGTCGCATAACGACAGAAATGTCGTTTATATCGACAAAAGATTGCCACCCACAACTGCTACTATATCGCAAAAAAATACATGGGTGTACAAATATATTCTCAGATATCACTTTGTCAAAAAGAGTCAGAAAAGAAAGCAAGTAGAATAATAATTTATTTCTCGAAGCACGAATTTGATATATATAAATGTAAAGTAACAAATATTTCAGGAACGAAGCAGAAGACGAATTCGAAGCTGAAAGCGCAACTATCAAGAACTCTTTGTCTGATATTGCGAGCGACGAAAATTTACCGGATTTAGACAAAAACCTAGATGATCACGGAAGTGATAGCGAGACTGATTCTACATCGAATAATCGCTCGAACGTATCGTATAAGCTCTTCACAATAGGGCCGTGTTTGTCTTCGGATTACTCGAAACTAATGAAAGAAGAGATGAAAGAATTTCACATGCTGGTCCGTACGAAAACAGACGGTGTAGAGGTAAAGAGATAGTTTACCTTTTATTATTCTCAATGATGTAATCGAGTTACATTATAAAACAAGTATTGTGTAATATTTTTTTCCTAGACAATTCTGGATGATAAAGTACCTGTAATGCTAGACCCGAAGATGGAACATCAGCTAGGACTTGGAGCTGAAGCTATAACATTAGAAGAAGGGATAAACCAATGGATGTCGTTGATAGTTAGACCAAACACATCGATAGCACGAGGTAATACATAGTTCATGAATGTTCGCGTGTATGTGTTTTATGTATAAATATTCGTTACCGTTGCAGTAAGGATAGCAACGGATACAGCAGAAATAATACAAATAGACAGACCTACTAAGATGTCGCTCAGTAACGAAATAAATAATTTGTACAAAATTAAGGTGGAGGATTCTTTATGCGTTCTGTATAACATAATCAGAAATTTATCGAGTTTGACGCCCGGTCGATATATTTTGCGACATGAGCCGCAACACGGTGCGTTTGCGTACGTTTACAAACATTCTGAAGAATGTTCTGCAAATAATTTTACACCGAGGTAGGTTTCATTCAAATTGACACAATATCTAGAAGTTACTTTTTTTATCGAGAAATAACAATAAGAGAATATTTAAAAAATGTTTCAGGAAAACTCGGTTTAAGTTACATGAGAATTGGAACTCGAGCTTCGAAACTACCACCGTCACACCGTGGCCGTTACTGGATACCATGACGACGATACCGTCGCTCAGATTCTTGAAGAGAATGCCCGCTATGTTCAATCCTCGACTTACTCAGATTAGAGGACGTCCAAAGAAACTTCAAACTCCATTAAAAGCCAGCATTGATGAACCAGGTTCATCTCAACTTTTTTAGCACTAACTCAAACATTCGAATAAAGTTTTCGATAAACTTATAAACAAAAAAAAAGGCAGAAAAAGAAGGAGCATTATGATGAAAAGATAATAAAAAATCATATGGATCTACAAAACTATTATCGCAATTGACAGACGATAATACAAAAATGATACATGTAAAATTTATTAATTTATTTAAAATAAATAAAATAACATTTATTTGTACACCAAGATGATTTCTCTGTTATCTGAAAATTTTCGATCAAGACTTCGAATGTTTGTCACTATATTAATTCGGATAATAAAGTTCTACGTGTGTGTGATAATTTTTAAAGTATATTGAAATATTTCCAGAAACAAAAAAACCAGGTCGCATCCTTAGACGACGAAAACGGAGAATTCTTAGAAAACAACTAAGTAAGAAATAAAAAAAATAATATACATCTCTAAATGTTCTGGCAGTTTCGGGGCGTGAGTCTTGTTGGTTGTGTTTCCACAAATGATGGCTTTTTATTATATGATAAAGTTTTAGATTTATTTGTATCTCTCACAAAAATGTTATATATATACATATATGTGTATATATATTTTTACATGTAAACTAATATATACTTCGTTTTAAATTTGAGATTTTTTATAATATATATATATTCTTCAAATATTTATATGATATAAAAGTAAGAATATATGTATATAAAATATAATTTATAAATATAACTTGTGTAAATATGGGTCGTGGAAAGTAAAATTCTTCTTTAGTTTTACTGGCCTGTCCGTAACACTAAAAAAATCTCCCAAAATTAATACAAAAATAATTAAAATATATAAGATCTTTTTTCTAGATCTTCATTAGTACATGAAGCACTTAAGCTGGAATCTTTGTGCGAGCGCATTTAACACTGCTTTTTTATAGATACAACAATTGCAATGCATCAATAAGACAAAGAGAAACGTGCAACGTGAAACTCTCCAGTGTTTTGTTCAAGTTATGTGGAAACCAGAGAAAGAAGCGCCTTTTTGTAATCTCCCGAGGTGTCTCCCTGTAACACATACACTCACATCAGTCGCTTAATTAATCAAGCTGTGAAATGATAAAAATTAATGTTTTTTTAAATATGTAATACAAAAACTCACAGCTATCCAGCTTTCCAATGACTTTCCGAAACGTTCTTCAAATGCTTTTTTAATGTCTCCTAAATCGATTTCGCTTCGGGACACGATGATACGGATAAGCGTTCGATCTTTTGTGCCTATGCCGTGCATACTGGCGTATAAACGTTCGGCGAAGAACCCAACCTTCGACTTTACGCATTTCACTGGTGATAAAAAAGATAAATATTTTTTTGTAGAATAATCCACAATGTAGATTAACAAGACATAAAAAGGATGACATTAGTAAAGAAAGGTGGGGGCAACAGTTTCCATGCTGAGAGAATATTACAGTGTAATTACTACTCAACGTAGATTTTAAACAAAATTCTATTTTTACACAACTACTCTATAAATTCCATAACACGAATGTCTTTGTGCGTGTTAATTAGTTGCCATGCAGCATTGTCAGGAACAATCCTACGATACGGGGACCTGAGCAGGAAGTACACATCATTTTCATGCATTTTATGAATCAATTCAGAATTTTTATGTCGTTTTAGAGATTGCTTGAAAACAGGAAAATCCTTTCTATCACATAACCGTGTGCCTACATTTTTTAATAGAAATTGTCAAATATGTGTGTGTGTGCGCTTGTGTGTTCAAAAGTATCTAAACGTATCCGGGAATGTCAACAACATGATTGTAATAACTCTTCTAAGAAAAGAAACAAACAAAAGCTACACAAGATTCTAAACTTGCTTTAACTTAGAAATACTTTTGCAAAAAGGGTCGTGGAAAGACATGAAAATATATACGGCCGTATACACATATTTCTCACGAAAAGGGAGAGAGGGGGTTTAATTCGTGAAATTGTATCATATTTACTGAGATTTACTGCTATTCCACTGCGCGTTCGAGAACGTTATCGTTTCTTCGCGCCGAACTTTGTTATATCAATCGCTTATTCTCACACTGAAAAAACGTACAATCATCCTCGTTTAAGCACAAAGTGAAAACTCACGAAAGTATCTCTTGATCATAATTATCAATTGATTCCAAAACATGCGTGTGTATCGTTTCTGCTCGTAATACACGTAAGACTAAAGTTTCTAGTCGCGTTTTAACAAGTTTCAGCGATTACAAATTCACTTTGTGAATGTAAAAATGTTAGCACAACGTGCTCACGATCGTAACGTATGTCACAAGTCACGTTATTTTATCGGGAAAAACTTTACCTATTCCAAGTAGACCTTTCTCAACGCTGCCGGAAAATTCCTTCTTAATGGCGACTTCGATGTCGTGTCCCGATATTTTCTCGTATTCAATAAACGTCTGTCGCAATTGCTGATAGCTGCGCGATATCAAAATCGCGTTGAACTGAGACTCGTCCGTTCCCCATTGCTTTTCACCTGCGTAAAAAGTTTCAGATCAAAGAACTGCCTTGTTGCGTTGTTATTAAGAAAGACGACACATCGAGAAAGACGTACCGGCCTCGTACAATGCTTGAGCATCAGCAACCGCCTGGGCATGGTCGATTCCTTGGTTCTCGTCTCTGTTTGCTTGCACGAGAGATACCATCAGTCTCTTGAAGTGACCCGAAGTATCGCCCTTCAGATCACTCTCCAGCGTTCTGCCGTATACTGTTTCAAAATATAATCCATTCTTTAGCTAATCGAGATTGTGGGGGAAATAAAATTTTATCAATTACACAAATACACAATAAGAATCTCACAGTTCTCGTAATACGTGGCGATCGTACGAATGCCGTAATTGCTCAAGGTGCATAGAATCTCAACGAGCGCCTCTTCATCAGTACCCATGCCGCTGATTGCATCATGCAGCTCCTTAGCGTAGTAATGTGGCAGTGGGGTCATAAGGGCAACAATCACATCTTCCAGTTTTCCGGTCAATTCGCTCTTCAAGTCGCTAATCAAATCTTTTCCGTACAGAGTCTTGAACGCCTCTGCAATCTCCAGCCTCTGTACAACACCTCTCTTTGTAAGCACGTCGATTATTGCTTTCTCATCTGTGCCGAAACCTTTCATCGCTTTGCGCAAAGTAGCGGCATCCGCGTTTGCGTCAAACGGCTCGGCCGGGTAAACAGTTGGAGTGCACTGCAAGCGTTTAATAAATTTTTACTAATTACAATTTAAACAAGAAAGATTATATGAAAGTGTGTGTGTGTGATTATTTTTTATTTAAATTCAATAAAATAAGTTTTTCTACGATTGGACATTTATGAAGGAGATAATATATGAATATTTTGTTATAATAATTTCTTTAATAAATCTCCAGTGGTGTTCAGTCATCAGGACAGTTATCTTATTTATGTATATAAACAAATATATACACATTTCTAATTATATTTAAAACCATAATTAACTCGTGAATAATTTGTTATCTCAAGTATTTTTCAAAGCTCTGTATACTCATCATTTTACGATCGTAAAAAACCGCTTAACAGAAAGAACGTGAATCGACTTACTAACTAGGCTAAAGTTAAAAATACGAATTGATCAATACTTCGCGCTCCAAATAGATCAATGTTGCTCGTTGGTAATAAGCGACGATGATCTTATCGCTTATTTTTCAATCTCGTTTGCGAAACGAGAAAAAAAAAATACATAAACATGTATATGTTTCTTGTTACGTACCTTGAACGGATAATACGGTTGCTGCGACATTTTTGTTTCCTACTTCGAGATTGCTGCTGGTCTTTTTGCGGGGAAGACTCGAGACAGTCTGAAACAAATTCAGGAGCAATGATTGTGAACGCGATCGAATGCGTCATGCGTCTAAATTACAGGCCTCATCAAATTGGCAGTTTTTTTCGCAAGTGACGCGAACGCCGCGAACAAAGCGGCAATCAAAAGACCGGTACGACGGTACGTAGAGTTTTTCTCGGTAATCGTGATTCCGACTTTTTTTTTTTAAGCACCGCAGGACACGCGAGAACGATTCTATCGACCGCGCGCGCTACGGTTACTTTGCACGCTGTCACGAGGGGATCGGATATTTCTCCCCTCCTTTTCACGCAAAGGATCGTCTTCGCGCGCTTGGTATTTAATTCAAATAAAAAAAACAACGAAGATACGTAATCGAGATCGCATACGCGATAACGCGAGATGGTAATCAAAAATTCGTTTTGATAAGACTCACCGGGCACCAGAGAACGCGATTCGATCACTACGAACGCCGGCAACTGACAACGAGCGATGAGTCGGCCGGGCCACCACCACCAGTCACACCCACTTTCACGTAGTATCACGTCATCGCGGTTGTCCCGTCAAGGCGGCGATCGCTCTGAGCGATTACGAAATCCCGCGCGCCTCACGTAGAGAACCATGCGCCGATTGTGTTCAGCGTAAATTAAAAAAAGACGTGACGTCTCGCCTTGGAAATTAAAGCGTTTCAAGGACTCAGAAATGTAAAGGCCGAACTGGATCCTCGACGGACTTAAATATGACCGGCTCTCGTAGGAACAAACATAACCTCTGTTGAAATAAATTATTTCTTTTCTCTCTTCTGTGAATATTATCAATCAACATATAGTATGTAATAGTTTTTTTTCATGTTTTTATACTATTTGTTGAGAGTCAATTGCATTAATTTTTGAGAAAAAAAAATCAACTTTGTCCAATTTCAGTCTCTGATCACGGTCTCCTGCAACAATGAGTAATCTCATAGACGCACACTGGTTTCCACTGGCATCCCAAGGAAACGTTTACTCAATGACCAAGTTGTTTTCTCCCAATACTTCCAACAAGCTGCTGGTGGCATCTCTGAAGAGAAAGATATATTCTTGCGAGTATCATCAAATGTCAGATTTTCTGAGACCTATGGTGAAGGAACTGTTGTTCACATATATTCCCAGTACGCAAAGCTCATTAGATTTTATGGAATGTACTGTTTTTTTCTTAATGAATTTACTTTGTATTTTTTCTGCAGGTGGCGCAGAAATAATTTCTATCGATGCTTACAACAAATCAGATACCGGAGATAGTTTTGTGATAGGAATTACAATAATGAAGACGAGCAAAGACACGATTGAAAGATATCTGAACATATACACAGAGGGTGCGGTGGATGGCGAAGGGGACGAGGGAAGTACAATTGAGGCAATAGCTCAAAATTGTCTCATGGTGGAGCTGTCGTACACTCCATATCACTTGTATCACACTATCCTGCCGAATCAGGACTCGACGCGTGAGGTATAAAGCCAGTATTATTTCACAAACGTTAATTTTTGCAATATAAAACTAACACTTTTTACAGGTAGTTTGGCTGATATCTGGAAGCGATTGCAATATTCACATGATAAGAGAAGACAAATTGAGCCACGTTTACAGTGAGTCCTGTATTGAAAAATATTTTCCAGAGCTACACGATATCCAAACGCTTGCTCTGTGGATTAATATTTATTATTATGATAATAATAAGTGGTACGTTAGGCTTTTGTCTCACATGTATACTTTCATATGTTAATGTGTGGGGATCAAGAGTCACTAAATTATATTTCTCGACTCGATGCACAAATTCGTATCTGTATAGGAATGCGATCTTTGCAGGAGAGTCACCGCAATTGGCTGTGAATGCGGTCTTGTCAAGGTAGCTATAGTAAACACGGTCGATCTTCAGATTTCTCGCCAGTGGCTGCTCAGATACGATAAACCCGTGCCAAGCGTGATAGTATTTCCGCAGCGAAATACGATCAATAAACCGTCGTTCATTGATGTCGATCGTAAATATTTCAAACATGTATTTACACACAAATCAAACGCGCGCATTTTCTTCATGAAGTAAAATTAGCAAAACTTTCCAGTTGGGCCACGTAAGGACGACAGTACGAAATTGAATGTTGTTGTTTTGAACACCAGCAACGCTGTTGTCTTTGAGTAAGTGGATGTATCGGTGACAGATGAGCGTTGCGTTTTTATATATTTCACACAGTAGAGTTGATATTTATGGTAAAAATTTTATTTGTCTTTTATCAGAGATATTCTTGAACACGAAATGAAACGTGATGTAATATTAAGCAGCGGCGAGATGTCCGAGTGTATTTTGTGTTGCTGTGTGGCAGATGTGAACATGGACGGTCAAAATGAGATATTACTCGGCACTTACAATCAGGAAGTTCTGATATTCGCGTTGACAAACGGCACGTGGGAATTGGCCGTTAGAAAGCTGTTCGACGCTCCCGTGCATTCCATAAGCTACATGGATATAACGAATGACGGAATGAAAGAAGTGATTGTGCTCACTCAACGTGGTGTACACATATTACAGGTTTCGTATTTATTCTTACGTACATATTCGGCTTTACACGCATAATATTTGTTTATTCACTCATTCAATATTTAAAAAAACATATAAATAATATATTTTAATAGACATATATGATTGTTTTTTTTTATCATTTTATACAGCATAACACAACGGAGTTGGAAGTAACGTGGAAGAAACGTTACAAAAAACTAATTGACATGTTAGCGGAGAAAATGTAATATTTGTTAAAACAAAAAAAAGGTAATTTTTTCTATATATATATGTATATATATTCTATATTTTTAATATATATTTTCAATGCGCGGCAGTATATGCATTTTTACGCACATGTGTCATGTTCACGTGTGATGTAATTTCGATAAAAAAAATTTATACAAAAAAAGGAAACGAGTTTCAATGTACATGAATATTAAATCATTTAAAATCTCTGAGAAAGAGACAGAGACAAATATCATTGTCTCCCAAGTTTGTTACGTTTTTGTTTGTGTGTATGTTGCGTTAATCAATCTTTGACGTATGCGTTCTATCTAGTTTGTATTTTAGTGAAAAATAAAAAAATCACTGTCGCGACGCTCGCAATCGCAAATCGGATTCACGAGCAGACCAATCGTATTGTTAGATTTTTCGAATCGACCAATGCGATCGGACCGTTGCAAATCCAACTCTAAGGCCGCGCGATTGTCGAAGACGACCTTATCCCATATTTCACGGCGCAATCATCTCGCTTTCATTTACAAGTCATGCGATACGTCGTTTCTCATGTAACAAATGCCGCGGATACGCCAATTGGCTGATAACTAGGGAATTTTAGAATTCTTCATCCGATAGCCAATCAGCGAGATTGTTCGTCGCGCCTCAAACAAAATCGTATTTTTACACGTAGGCTATGCAAATCACTTGTTACGTTGTAAGAAAGGCATTTCGAAGGGAAGCGAAAGGGCTGACCGTGTGACGTTTCGCGTGACAGTTGCCACGCGCACGTGTCCGCGGGTGGTCACGTTTTTGTTCGCGTTTTGTTGTCGTCGTTGCTGTTATCCGTGGCGGAGAGGAGGTTTTCAATCGCCGCCGAGTCGCTGGCTGGTGTGCGACCGTTTTCCTAGGACTTGTTCGCGGTGAATATCGCACCCGAGGAAACGGTCACTGATGATCAATATATCGCCGCGTAGCTCTTCGGCGCCGATTGAAGTCCAGCCCGCTGGGAGGTGATTTCGTCCGATCGTCGCTTTAGAGATTACGAGATGACGAGCAAGAAAAGCCAGACCCTCCGCATCGAGACCGAGATTGATCGGAATCGCGAGGAGGGCAATTGGAAGAAGGTTATAGAATTGGCGGAACACTTAAAAGTGCAGTACCCCAGCAATGGTAAACATAAATCTTCCCCCTTTTCTCTCTCACTTGTCGCGACTTTTCTGTCATTTAAATGAGACCTCATCTCGATGGGTCGTAACATTTCTCTTGCGAAAAGGTTATATATCCCCATAAATGTCACTTGAACCACGTTCCACCGTCAGGTGACGCTTGTTCGTTTTTTCTTTTTCCGAAAAAAGATGTTACATCATTGCATAAATGTCAAGGATAACGACTTGTTTGTCCAGATAAAATTTGATATTCATTTCGTTTAATTGTTTCGCACGTCACAATTTTCTCATGGTATTTTGCGTTGTCATGGTTTTCAGAGAATAAGAGAGAAAAAAAAAAGAAATAAATATTAAGAATTATTTGTGTCATCTATTTTTCTTAAATGACAAGATAAAATGTTATTGTTTTCAGCTGCAATTATCTCATGACAAATTTGTTTTTTTTTTTTTTTTTTTTTTATTTTAACAGAATGTTTAGCAAATTTCTTGAATGGAGAAGGAAGACTAGAAAGTTTTTTGGAGCAAACTCCGCCGATAGATTCTAATATCAGCAAAGCACGAAATGGACTGGCAGAAACACGGAAGTACTTAATACTAGCTGCCAATGAAAAAGACAAGCAGGTAATGAAGGAATATATATAAAGAGATTAAAAACTAAAACTCTTCAAGAGAATACTATAAGTAAATTTTTTCCCATCTCTAATATTTTTTAGGCTCTGGTTGTATTGGACGCCCATTTGCTACTTGGCAAACTTCATTACGCAATGGGGATGTACGAGGACGCTCTTCGTCACTATCAACAAGCTGAACTTGACACACTTACAGAAAAGCAATTACCTTGTCGAAGTTTACGTATTATAGCAGAATCGTATGCGATTAAAGGTTTGCGATCAAAAGACCTTTGTTTTTCCAACTCTTTTTTTCTGACAACAGTAGAATACAGTCTTAGTGCAATGTTTCAGAAAGTTACACTTTTTTAACAGCTTGCTTTCTATAGTTTTGTGTTTTCTCTTTTAACAGTAGATTTTACGTTTGTTAATAGTTATGTGGTTAGAGAAGTACAAATTGTTTACATATTATTTTTACTGTGCAAAATCTTTGTAAAACAGATAGTTACTATCGTAACGGTATATTATTCTACTCCATTACATACATTTATATCATTATCCCAGTTTAACATTAACGAGCACTTATCTCACGTAGTAACAATTTTAGAATTTTATACACGTTGATTTTGTCGTTTTTTTATTACATTCGTTTATTTACTACTATACAACCTATGTATGACTTAGAGAAAGAAAGTATGTTTACTTTAGACACAGACAAACATTTGTCCTGCCGAAGACTGCGCATTATAGCAGAATCATATGCAATCAAAGGTTTGTATGCGCTTATCCGCTTGATTTTGCTTTTGTATTTTATTTAGTTACGTACTAATGCACATATCGATCTACATATATATATATATATATACATATATTTACATCATATCTGCTTATACGTGCTTTTTAAACTGAATTTAATTACCACACGTAGCGGCATGCTATCGTTTGTATTATCTTTAACAGTTACTCGTTTAAAATATTCAAACAAAAACAATTTACTTCGTTCAAAATAACAAACAAAGTAAATATAAATTCTCTTTGTGCTTTGCCGCCTCGTTTGAATTCTAATTTTATCGACTTGTTTCTACTAGCGAATGCTATTATAGATGTGACAAGAACAAAGCACATTGCGGAAGCTTTCGTTAACGACGAAGAATGAAGTTTTTGTAAAATATTTTGTTTCTAGTCTAGTTATGATCAAAAGTTTTTTTTTATTTTTTTTATTTTTATTTTCTTTTTTTATGTCAAACGTTACGTCCGCGTCGATGTGTTCGATAATATATACAAACTGTGTTCTCGACTGATCATCGACATTGAAAGTTGTTATTTGTGTCAGGTCTCTGCCTGGAAAAGCAACCGCCGCAATCTAAGTCGAAACATAAGATTGCAGAGTGGCACGAGCGGATAATCAAGTGCTACGAAGTCTCCGGTGACTTGACGCTGGTGTATCTGCAGGAGCAGGACAAAATCGCTATGCAGCAACAGAACGGTATCTCCATCATAAACACAAACAGCACAGGTGATCATTTAGTGTTCGCAACATTGATATTATCGAGTGAAGTTCGTTTTCTTAACGGTTCGGTGTGTTCATCAGGTACAAACCCGCAACCTCCGGTTTGCACCGCGAAACATATCGGACCCATTTTGGAAACCGCTCTGCAAAGAGCGCCGATACTGTACATTCAAATGGGCAACATACAAGCCGCTGTTAATCGTTACAGGTGTGTATACGTAACTCACACAACGTGAGAGACGTGTAAAGAAATCAACATTCTAAAAGAACTGCAACTTTTTCTTTTACAAAACTTTGCTGTTTCTTTTCTTTGTTGTGACAGAGAAATTTTATCCGCCGTTGAATCCACAACTACTCAGAGTTTGCGTGTGACCTTGACCAGACAGTTGGCGGAAGTTCTGTTGCGTGGTATAAGCGGCGCGGACTATAAGCCGCCGGAGGGTCCAGTCGATACGAGTACGATAATCGCACGTGTAACAAAATATTTTTATCGTAAAGGAAAAAAATTGTGTTTTACTGATGTATTTCAATGTTGCAGCTACCGTCAGCAATCGGCGAGCGAATAATTTGGATTCGCCGTGGAAGCCGAAAAAGTACTCGGGACCCAACATGTTCATTCCGAAGAACGAGTACGAGGAGACGATTCTCTTGTTGCTGATCAGCGAAGCGATGGCGGTGAGAGACGCCGTTCTGAGTCAATCGCCCGAATTCAAGGAAGCCCGAATACGCGCGTTCGAAAATGCCACCGCCGTTTACGATCTGCTCACGGTCGTTGTCATCAGATGGAGTCAAGTGGAACTTCTGTACGAGGTGAAGATAATTTTTCAAAGAGAGAGAAAAAAATATTTATTCTTGTTGCATTTTATATATATATGTGTTATGTATGTCATTGTTGTGTCGTAACGCGTTGTGATTCATCATTAAGCGAGTGCTTAATTTAAACGTTTGTTTCGCAACAGTCTTTCGAAAGAGCGATGAAGTTCTCTCACGAGGAGGCGCACATATGGACCCAGTACGCGCTGTGTCTGATAAGCATGGGGAGATACATGCACGCGTACAGAGTCCTAAAAGTGGTCGCCAGATTGTCCCCTCAGAAAGTAATGCCTTGTCTATTAGCCGCGAGGCTGTGCTACGAACAGTTGAACATGGTAAAAACATGTTCCCTTTGTCACATTTTTATTTTATTTTTTTTTTTTTTTTATCTCGAAGACAATATTTTCAGAATATTTTGTGGATCTTAACAGATAAACGAAGGTATCGAGTGGAGCCAAAAGGCTCTTCAACGAGAGATGGTGAATTCGCAGGGGATGCAGTCCAGATGCCACTTGTACATCGGGATCGGCCACAGTATACTGTCCGCGAACACGATCGTGAAACAGGATAAAGTGCATCACACGAACACCGCTCTGGACTGCTTTCAAAAGTATAATTTAAATATTAGATCGTACGCGCGGTCTTTAGATTGTTTGTTTCGTCGAAGTGACGAAAGATTTTTTCTCTCGAACAGGGCGCAACAATGCGATCCGAACGATCATCTGGCCGAGTATTATCTGGCTCACGAGTACGCAATAAACAGACAGATCACCGACGCCATCGTGCACGTGAAGATCGCGTTGAATCTGCGAGCAGAACACATTCCGTCGTTGCATTTATTTGCGTTACTCCTGTCGGCACACAAACAGTATTCCGAGGCGTTGCACGTGATAAATAGCGTGTTGGAGGAGTATCCGGACAATTTGAATTTCCTCTACGTGAAGGCGCATCTCGAACTGCGTAGTATCGGCGGCGTAGACGCGCTCTACACCATCAGTCACATGTTGCATCTGTGGAAAAATCTCTACGAGGATCAGACAAACGTTAACTGCAACGAGCAACAGAGCGAGAAGCGAAGCGAGACCAGAAGCGTTTTTCAGCTCTACACATCGGAGATGTCCGATAAGGACTCCAGTGAGTTACGCGTCGCAATAACAATAATTTTCGTCGTATTCTTCGTTCAACAATGCGTTTGAGAATTCCCATTCCGTTTAAATGCAAATTTTAAAGCAAACAAATACTATTCTTCCTTCTCGCCTCCGATGACCTTCTCTCCAAAATCTCACAAACAGCAAACGTTGTTTTCAACAGGTTCTCTGCACGCGCAATCGTTGGCCGCTTCGAGAGTCGAGCAGGCTTTGTCCGAAGTCGCCTCATCGATCAGTTCGTTTACACCGAAGCCGGGGCCACAGCGGGCGTGGCTGTTGCAATTGCAAATCTGGCTCTTGCTCACCGAGGTTTTTCTAATGCTGGATCAACCGAACGGTGCCGTTCTGTCTCTCCAAGAGGCCACCAATATTTTTCCGTTGAGCCACCACATTATGTACACGGTACGCGACGGTAGAATCGAAAGAAAAAAAACATCTTTTTCTGTTGTTGTTGTCGCACCGTGTATCTTGAATATTTCGAGAGATTAACCGATTCAACAACGGAAGATCACGCTTCCGTGCGATAATCAAATGCAATTATCTCTTTTACAGCGTGGCCTTCTACACGAGTACAAGTTGGAGTACACGGAAGCGAAGCAGTGCTACCAGAACGCTGTTTCGATTAATCCTTCGCACATTAAGAGTCTGCAACATTTGGTAATAATTGTCGCGCGCGCGCGCGCGTTACGTATTACTGATGAATTCTCTTATATGCGTATTCTACGATTTTGTTTTACGAAATTTGTCACACAGACGTTCTGATTATTTGCAGGGTCTCATTTATCATTATTTGGGCAGTCAGAGATTGGCGGAGAAAACGTTGAGAGACGCCGCGAAGATCGATCCAAATTCCCATCAGACTTGGTATTGCGCGATCGCAGTAGTCGATTTTTCAATTTCTAAATTGTTTCTAGAACAGCGTAGCGCGAGTTATCTTTTTTTTTTTTTTTCGTAGCTCGCGATATCTTTACATCTTTATTCGACATTTGTTATCGCGAGCTCCCGATAAAGTTGAATCGAGTTCCAAGTGATAGAGTTTGATAAGCGCATTATATTGGTAGATTAAACGTAGATTAAAGAAATATTGTCGCATATTTCAATTTTTTTTTTTAGGTACAATCTTGGAGTAGTGTTGGAATCTCTGGGCGAGGTGGAAGCCGCCAGCGACTGCATGGCAACGGCATTAGAGGTCGAAACGACAAATCCCATCCTACCGATTCTGTCGATACCGGTAACTTTCGAGTAATTCGTGTCGCTCCCTCCCCTTCCTCTCCTTCCCAATTTTGGAAGATGGGATTTGACTATTTTTGTCCCTTCCCTCTTTTCTTCTCTGCCGGGTGTCGCCTTCCCGTTCAATAGTACCTGGACGCGTTGTACTATTGTCCAAACACGTTGTTGAAAGAAGGAAAAAAACAAAACACAAAGATTAAGATAACTTGAACTGTACAGATAGTTAATTCGATGTAAGAAACACGAATAAAAGTCTTATCTCAAAGTCTTGGATTTCTGTGTGCGAGTTTTCGCACTGAGAAAATACTATGCTACACCCCCCTCTCCCCCCCCTCCCCGACATCCGCGTTGATTGTTTTTTTCCCACGACTTTGTTCCCTCCGAAGTCTATTAGACTTCGAGAATCTCGGCTGCTCGATTTTTTCTCGGGGAACGAATTTTTTTTTCTTTTTTTCACGAGATCGCATTTTACTCCCCGAATGTCATTTCGAAGTAAGCTACTACGATATAATATACTTATTTATTAACAATAATTAATAGTTTATAATCATGCATTTGATGATGACTGAATTAATTTATTATGACGACGAATGTTACGCGCGCATGATCTCCCTTACCGTTTCACCCCCGGTGCGTGTATTGCGCAAGTGACTGCGCAAACTTGATGCGGATGTGCGATAGTGCGCATACGTGATGGCCCAATTTGCGCATGATGCGCAAGCACGTACTTATACCGAATCGTACGTACGTACGTACGTACGTACGTACGAGCGGGCGAACGGACAAATCGGAAGTCTACAATACCTCTAAAAATGTAGTAATTTATTTTTATAGAGATCGATAACTCGCGGCGAGAACAAGAGAGAAAGAGAGAGAGAGAGAGAGAGACTAACGAGATTTTATCCGAGCGCGCGAACCGAACGGCGGTCGATCCTCCGTTTCTCTTCACATCCCTCTTGTTTTTTTTTTTTTTTTTCTTTCTTTTTCCGGGCGAATAAAAGTCGTCTTTTATTTCGATCGTCATTGGGCGAACACGCGCGACGCGCAATAATAATATATGTCGCGCGGTATATAGAACGCGCGGAATGACAGTCGCGTTGTCGTTAAGAGGCAGAGCTATTTTCTTTTGTGTAATCGATATAATAATGTTATACATGTATATGGCCTGGTTTCTCGCAGACGAGGAGGGGGGAGGAAGGGAACTTGAGAAAACGCCTTGGATTGCCTTCACCGCGGGAAGGTCGACGCATATTGACGCGTACACGTCGGACCGAAGCACCCCACACACACACACACACGCGCGCGCGCGCGCGCGCACGCCCGTCGTCTTCTCTAATTTCAATTACATCATCTCGATGATCATCAATAATCTCTAAGATCGTTAAGCATTTCGCAGTTCGCGCATATAAGATGACGGTTTCCGGGAAACGCTTGCCTAGGAAACGATTAGCGAAAAGAAAACATTTAATATAAGCGTTAGTGCGTACGTGAGCAATAATATCAGAAAATTCCGAGTATCTCTCTTTTATTTATCTCTGAGGGAGAAGATAAATATTTATAAATCTCTAAATGTGCATTGTATATTACACACGCACCTCGCGTTTCAGCGACGCAACTTTTATATCCCGAGACATCTCAATCCCCCGCAAAATTCGCACACGTACGAAGTTTATTATGTCTGTGTTCCCGCGCTATCCATCGTCCTTTTACGTACTCAATGTTACAAATCTTTTCTGTAAATGAAACATTTTTGTTTCGCACGAAGAGGAGAGCGCGGAGTTGTGAAAAAGAGAGATGTCACTCTCGGTCTATTTTTATTTAACGTTTCGACGTCAAAAACGTACGGAAAGAGGAGGGAGCTCCGTATATATTCATTTCTTTCTCATCATCACCCCCGATCGAACGTCGCTATCCGTAATCGGAGATTGAAACAATTTGAAAGTCGGTGCAACGCAGTTTTTTATATATATATATATCAAATTGGATATTCGATATGTCACACATGCACAGAGAGTTACGGCGACAAAAGAACTTTATTGCCCGAGAAAGTTTCGCCACGAGAGATTCGCGGGCGAGTACATTGCAAAAAAATTAGATATATATCGGGGCGGTGTCGTCTCTCTCTCTTTTTTTTTTTTTTTTTTTTGATCTCCCTTTGGTTTTCCGTTTGGTAGCGGGCCGCGAGTATGAGGATATATTGCGCAATAAACGGAATTCCATTTTCTCTCTTTTCCTCGTTTCTTTTTCCCTATCTTTATCGGCGCGGCGCCGTCCATCCCTCTTCGCTTCAAGGACGCGGGGAATATCAATTTTTAACGTGCGATAGCGTGACCGTGCGAGAAGAAAAGACCGATGCTATTACGGTAAAATTAACATTCTTTGCTGCGGATCTCCTATTAAATTCCCTGCCTTCATCTGCCTACCTGCCTCGGGGTCTTGCCTACCTATCTATCCACCCCGAGAAAACCCATCCCGGTACCGAGGCTCTACCCCCGGCTTTGCCGTCGTGCGCCGTTTCTTTCCCTTCCCTGCGCGCTCTCTCTCTCTCTGTCTCTCTCTTTTCTTTTAGTTCTCTCTCTTGCTCGCTCTCTCTCTCTCTCTCTCTCTCTTTCTCCCTGTAACAAGATTACCGCGGTCGTGCCGTTTTGCCGTCCCGTTCTATCGCGTGTCGCATTGCGCGTCCTAGCGTGCGCAGGCTCGACACACACGACGCGGCGGGTGCCGCGTCATCCGTCGTCGTCGTCATCGTCGTCGTCGCCGTCGTCGTCGCCGTCGTCGTCGTCGTTGTGTTCGCGCGACGGCACGAAACTATATTCTTCGAAAGATCGCTCCTCTATTTCTAGGAGCCTATTCCGGAGCAGGCACTCTTGGACACATCGTTTGTTCGTTCATATAATGTTTATTATTATTTTGTTCATCGGAAACGCGATGGGAAGGAAACGCGCGCTTCTCTTTATGGCGCGCTCGGTTCGGCACGACCGAGGTCGCATCGATTTTTGCCGCGGTGCGGCGCGTCGCGTCCGCGGCAGCGTTTCCCGCAAAGCGTGTCGACGATACATACGCTTCGTAACGTACATCCACGAACACACATCGCGCTTTTAGCGCGTTTACGCGTTCGCACACACACACACACACGGTTTACATGTGCAAAATACATAATCAACCGGCCGATTCTCCCGTTCGTGTCCTTCTCTGCGAGACCGTCGTCGTCGTCGTCGCTTGGTTTTTCCTCCGTTTCGGAAATCGCGCGACGATGTTTTTTTTTTTTTTTTTTTTCGCGCGGCAGATATAAATTTTCCGTATTTACGCGCGCCGGTCGCGCTAATTAGTCCTTATCGATAGCGCCGCTCTTGGGCATCCGCCGCTCGTAACCGCCGCGTCTCCGGGATATATCGGTCACGGTCACACGACGAGCGACGAAGCGGTTTAACAATTCATCGGACGACACATATACATACACGTTGTTACACGAGTCGGGCGGCGGACGTAAAACGACGGCGGCAGCGGCGGCGGCGGCGGCGGGGTGGAGATCCTGGCCGCACCGCATCGCCGTGTTCCTGGCCGGAGCGCGTCAGCGCGATCGATATGCGCCGCGCGCGTATTACTCGCTTCTGCGAGAAGAGAAATTTCGTGAGATCCTTTCGGCGAACGCGCTTCCCCCACCTCGTGTGCACGTCGAAAAAATGAGATGGACAAATCGCAGTTTCCTCTTTCTATAGCGCGATATATATCTGTCTCTCTTGTGTATATATCGTTAACGTAAAACCATCTATTACCAACTTTTTTGAAGCTAAAGACGTCGATCGCACGTCGTCTCGCCCGAGCGATCGATCTGTCTTGAACATAGGCGTCACGTGAGAAACGTAGGGTTTAAACGTAGTCCCGTGACGCGTCGCGGGGTCACGCTCTCTCGCCGATAACTTTACTCTTCTTCGCGGTTCTTCGATCGAAGGGAGTCAATTTTGACTCCCCCTGATCAGCCACGTTGAAAAAAAAGAAAAAAAAAATCTTCCCGCGCTCGAAACCCACAGTCCGCTGAGAAGATTTGAAACACGGCGATTTCTGGAAATCTAGCTTCCGAAGAGCTTCCGTGACTCATATTTTCTTCTCCCAGGTGAGATATCAAGAAACAGCGCGCTGAGTAACTTTAATGAGACTTGAAGTTAGTCATCTAACTCTCTCTCTCTCTCTCTCTCTCTCTCTCTCTCTCTCACATGACTTTCGCGTTTAGCTCTCCGCGAACGTATGTATATTTACGTACGTGTTGTCCTCGTAAAAATTTCAAGTTCCACAAGTTGAGACGCGGCGCGCGACATTGAAATACATATTATTGTTGTATTTGCCGGAGAGAGAATGCGCGCACATGCTCGCAATGTGTGAAATAAATAAGCGAAAACGGAATAACGATTCCGTTGGGTATTTATATACGACAGTGAAGGCGGCGGCAGTTTAACGCGGCGATGTATATCGCCGTAGCAGCGCAACTACTTACTTACCCCCTGGGTGTGTGTGTGTGTGTGTGTGTTCGTCACCGGCAATTATACCTATGACAACAATGTGGCGATGGCGATGCAAATTCATGGAACACTTTGGATGGGTTTCAAATGTCGATGCGATTCCGATGAATGCATACTCGGATCGGAACCGTTACACGCTCATTCATCCCCTACTCGGGGATGACGCAAAAAACCGCGGTCTCCTCTTGAATACCGCATCGCGAAACCTTGCGAAGCTATATCGCCGATCTTGACTATATATCGAACGCGGACGAAGAAACTTCGGGATATTTTTTTGTTTGTAATAACAATTGAATCGCGTGATTGAGACATCGATTTTTCAAAAAAAAATTTCGATTACTTATGCAAATTCTATTCGGCCGAACGAATTTTCCCCGATACGTGCGCATACGAAAACGCAATGCAGAGAACTTTGGGAGAATATAATCTCTATATTGTGCGATTCTCTCGCGGTAGAACGTACGTAGCAAGTGCGAGCGAGCGAGACAGCTAGAGAAAGGGAGAAGAAGACAGAGCGAGAAGGAAAACAAAGATATAGCCAGAGTTTTTCGCCCTTATAGTGTTCCCTTATCCGTACAGGTGTCTCTGCGCAGAAAATTAAAAAACAAACAAAAAAAAAAAAAAAAAACAAATTTACATGTTCTATTAATAAACGTCATTTCGCAACGTCACTTATAATCGCTTCGAGTAATAACAACACTAAGACCTATAATACGTTTGACGCGACTATAACATTTTCTTGCGTCATTGTCAAATTATCGTACTACAATGACACACATACCGGGAATGTGGAAATAGTATACGCAGGTAAAACGGGCGGGACGGAAGAGAAAGAGAGAGAGAGAGAGAGAGAGAGAGAGAGAGAGAGAGAGAGAGAGAGAAGTGGAGAGGAGCGAAACGGTCGCCGAAGAGAGCAACGACGAAGATAGAAAAAGAGAGGGAGAGAGAAAGAGAGAGAGAGAGAAGCTTGGGAAAGGGGTGTGGAGGACAAAAGGGCGATAACTATGACGACGGTACGGCCGGGCACGATAAATTTTCACGCTTTACACCGACTGTACATTCCTACGAAGTAATGCAGAGATCTATGTTAGAGCGCTCTTCGATGAAATTGATCCGAATTAATACCCCGAGGAGAATAAAGTAAGAGAGAGGGAGAGAGAGAGAGAGAGAGACAGAGACAGAGAAAACGCCCGTGCGAGAAACTTTACAGCGACTTCTCCTTCTCCATCTCTCGCGTCGAAGTAGATCCAATTTATGTCGTCGTCTACGAAAGCGATAGGTTTTCTCTCCGCGATACAGTCCTTCGCTAAGAGAGAGCTTTTCTCATTTGAAAGAAGAAAAGAAGTCGAGAAAAAAAATTGAATGGGGGATGGATCAAAAGTGAGACGCAAGAAATCAATTGATATTTGAATTGAGAAAATTTGTTCGGTACGTGAAAAAAAAAAATAAAATAAAATAAAATCGGTACGAGATCGATATGTCATTGGTTTTGTTGCGAGACATTCTGGGATTTATGTTCCTTCTTTCGTATCTCGTCTCTCTCTCTCTCTCTCTCGCGAAGGAAAGAGGGTGCGGTATTAGCAAAGCCAACCGTCATCGGCGAGGTCAATGACGAGCGCGACAAACGGTATAACGGGAAACACCGAGAGAAACGCGGCAAACGGAGCACGAAATAGAGAAAACGCGGAAGATGGAGAAAAATGAGAGACTAGAAGAGAAAGAAAAGCAAACCCCGGCGATTCTCTTCGTCCGTCGTAAGGGTGCGGGGGAAAAAGAGTTAAGGAAAAAGGTCAGTGAGCGGGTTTTCAGAAGAGAGCCGTGCGACGACAACGACGGGAGGAGAGAAAGAGACACGACGGAAAAGAGAGACAGGGAAAACGAAAGAGGAGGGAGGGGTGCTCGGAACATATAGCCGAAAAACGCGCCCATCGCATTCAAGCGGTCTTCTCGCGAGCAGGGAAGCCCGGCTCTGACCCGGTAGCCGGCGCGACACAGCACAGTCCGCGCGACCGCCTGACGCATTGCAGGTGCGCGCCGGCCAATCACAGGCCCGGTTAGTTCGCCCGGACTCGTCCTGTAAACACGACCGCACCCACCCCGCTGTGTAAAACAGATTTGTTACGGGGCGTTCGCGGGGTTACGACGAGCGCCAGGCGAAGCCCGTGGCTGCGGCGAACGTCGCGGGTCCCGCACTCGCTGCGTCTCTCTCTCTCACGCGCCGTTCGCGCGATTAAAAATCGCCACGGGCCTTTTTTTCCGCACCTTTCGGCAACGGGGGAATCCGCGCGCGCGGGAACTAGCTCGCGGCCGCGTAGGCGGCCGGCGCCGTTACGACCGCCGCG